AAGGCTCTCCCTGCCCTGAGCAGCCCAACCGCACCTCCTTCACCTCCACCCTGCACCCCAGGGCTTCCACCGCAGAGCAGCCCCGCGAGCATCTCTGGGTGGCACAAGCCGGGCTGGCTCGGTGTCCCAACGCCGTGATCACATCACCAAGCACTACGAAGGGCTCAACACAGATAAGCAAGTTTCAGTGGGCAACTAAAAGGCTTTGTTTTACCTGCCGGCAGGAGCCTACGTCACCGAGGCACCGCAACGCCCACTGCGCACAGGGACCCTGAGGGGACCCACAGGAAAACCGCTCACAGCCAGGTATTTACAGCCCGATCCCGCTCCGGGCCCCTGGTTTCCTCCCTGCTTCCTCCTTCCCCACCGCCCCGCAGCACCTACCAACAGGAATAGCCCCCGGTCTAAAGCTGGAAAGCACAAACAGATCTCGGCAGGGCTGCGGGACGCAGGCAGGAGGCAAGGACAGACGCCGCGTTCAGGACTGCGGGGCAGTGGCACGGGGGGGGACGGGGACAGGCAGGTCCCAGAAGGGTCCCACAGGAAGGCAGGGGAGAGGCAGAAACGGCCTCCAGGTCGCCAGGCACCAAAGAGGGAAGGGTAGGGTGAGGACGAGATGGGGAGCTCGGATTTCAGCGGCCCCCCCAGCCCCAGGCTCCATCCCACAGCCCCACGCCCCATCCCACAGCCCCACGCCCCATCCTCCAGCCCCAGGACCCATCCCCTGCCCCACGGCCCCGGGCCATTGCGGCAGACCCTGCGAGCAGCTCACTGCTGCGGTGCTGCCGTAGTGCCCAGCACCCGGAGTCAGTCCTGCAAGGACCTCGCAGGCACAGCTGGATTTGACCTTTTATAACCATCTGAGAGGGTGCGGAAAAAAGAATTTTACACCGTGTCCATTCTGAAGGGGGGGACGTACTCTTCCTCCTCCTCTCATGAAGTAAGCAACTAAGTAGGAAGCTGAAAACAGAGCAGTGAATTACTGCCAGGAGTGCCTTGGAAAGAAAAAGGCTTAAGGTTTAGGCTTATCTAATGTCACATCAGCCATTTCCTAAGAAGGGAGCAAATTTAATTAAGAACACAGACCCACTCAAGGACAGCCAGGTTACATACAGCACGCGGACTCAGAACACAATGCTGAGGTCGGCATCGCATCTACGAAAAGCAAGAAACACAAACATCCTGGGCCTGGCTGCTAAAGGCTCGTTATTTGGGATCAGACGCAGACGCCATCAGGCACAGAACAGCCAGCAGAGCCACACAGCTCGCTGCAGACGCTCCCTGGCGAGATGGTGCGCGGTGGCACCGAGGCCGAGATGGCTGTGACCCCAGCGTGTCCATCCCCGAGGGCTGCTGTGTCCATCCTCTGCCCCCAGACCCGACAGCTCAGGTGGGGGCTCCGCCCAGGCCATCAGAGCAGGGCACACGAGACCACCCTGGGCTGTCCCCAAGCTGCCGTGGCACCAGCACGAGCGGGGCAGGCATGCTCGCCACGGGCTGGGCCACCCCCTTCGCTCACCCAAGTCATCTCAATGCTCATTGGGACGATGGTCTCCAGAAAGCATCAGAGACCACGTCAGCCCCGCGTGCCAGGGCTGGCACACGGGAATGCCTCCGCAGCACTGCTGCCACCGGCGCAGAGGAACCCCAGGCACCAGCCTCCAGCCGCAGCTCCAGAGCGATGTGCCCAGCTCGAGCCAGCACATCCCGCTGAGTTCAGGTCAACGGGCTCCGGCTGCAAAAAGGGAATTGTTAAACTTCACAGCCCCACAAACTCAGCCTGGACCCTGGCATCTCGCTACGCTGAAAATCACCCACCTTCGATGAGGGCTGTCAGCAGCACTGCAGCTGAGCCCGCCGAGCCGCCCTCCGAGGCAGGGCAGGCAGGATGAGCTGCTCGGCACCGGCTGGGAACCGAGGGCCGAATCCTGCCGGGGAGCGGGCACCAACCGCTCCCCCGGACCCCGAGAACGACCACACCGGGTCTGACCCAGCGTCGCTCCAGCCCGGCACTCCCCGCTGCCCGCAACAGGCACTGAACGCTTGGGCGAAGAATGGGAAAGGCGAGCGTGATCCCTCCCCAGCACTGCCGTCCACCTCCCCGGTCAGCGATTAGGGATTTACCGGGTCAAAGGCTGTACCTGGACATGCTTGCTGACAAGCTGGGTACTTTGTTATCAGCACCGAGAATCTAAAGCTGAAGCCATACCCTCTACCAGCCGCTGCTGCACAGAGCAAGACCCCTGCAAGAAACCCGTTAGCCTTCGGTGGGCTGCCTGGGGCAGACAAGTGAAAGGT